TGTGTGTGTGTGTGTGTGTGTGAGAGTGTGTGAGAGTGTGAGTGAGTTTGTGTGTGATTGTGAGAAATGCACAAATATGAAAACAACATCATCATTTATATTTCTCTCTGACATTTATATCAGTGTGACCTGAGTTTATGAGCATACAAATGTTTAATGAGCCCATAAAAACTGTAAAATAATTAAAAATGAATTACAAACTGTTGCATTAGATGAAGGATTACAGGACAGTGATTGTCATATAGTTGGTTAAATAAATAATATTCAGATCATTAATAAGGATACGCAGTCACTGATGTCACTTCCTGTTTAGTCTCTTTGACTGACATCGTTTTAAGCTCTCATGAGCTAATGAGCTTGTCTGCGTAAGTGCTATTTTAGAATAATTGAGATACTATTCAAGTTTTTTATTAATATATATATATTTTTTTTACTTTTGTATTTTCCATTTTTATTTTCATTTAACTTAGTTTTATTCATTTTGCTGTTTTTAATTTTTTTATAGTTTTTTAATGTATATGACTTTATAATTTTATTTTTAGATCAATTTTTAATAAAAAAAAAATTCTATTTCCATTTTAGTTATTTTAGTACATCAAGTTAAATGGAAATGAGAAATGTTGCCCTGGCAACTAACTGAAATAATTTTATTTTTCTATTTTATTTTTCTTTATTTTTTTTGAGTTACTGTTTATTTTAAACATAAATAAGTAAATAAATACAGTAGCAAAAGTTGCTGTTTTTATGGATTTAGTTTTATTGAACTGTAATAGCTCTGATCTGAAGGCAGCTGCGGTTCTTCTGCTGTTCTGTTTATATATGAATGCAGTGAAATGCATCATGGGATCAAAACAAACATGCTGGATTCAGAAGGCTCATTCTCGCACTGGTTTACTGGCCCTCACGAACACTAAATACACGTTTGTTTTTGAAATGACGGAGCGTCTAGTGTTCTCACGTGACGTTTGACCACCGTCCATCATAAAGCACAGCGTTATGAACCCGAGTCAGATTCAAAACAGGCACAATTTTGGGTTTGATAAACTGAACTGAACTTTTTATGACTGAATGTGTTGTTTGACCTCAATATACACACTTATAAATGTTACTATATTTACTGTGGTGAGAGTCCACTGATAGAGGAGAGCAGAGCTGAAATGATTCACATCCTAAACAAACCATAAATCACCATCACTTTCACTAAAATAACTACAACTGAAATATAGTGTATATGTAAATGTTCATTTTCAGAAGTCTTCCTGAAGGCTGTGTAATGCTCGGTCTGGAAACTGGTGTCTCTCTTATGAAAGCAGAGAATGAGTCACAGAGTCAGAAGAGCTCTGGACGTTCGGTCAGTGCCACGTGGAAGCAGGAACAGAGCCAGACTTTCCCTGAGCAGCTCCTTCACGAGAACCACTGCAGAACACACACACACCAGACCAGGCCAGACCAGACCAGAACACACACATACACACACCAGACCAGAACACACACATACACACACACTATACATTATGCATTATAAAGGTATTGATATTCATAATGTACATTGTAATGCATTGTATCTTTTCAGAAATAATTGTAAAAGCATTATAATATGTGAAGGTTTGTTTGTCGTGTGTTTTAATGCATTATACTTTCTAAAGGTGTAACAATGAATAGATTAGTATTATAATGCATTATAACTGTGGTTACAATTACTCATCAGATCATACAATGCATTTATAAGGTGCATTTCAAGACATAATTAATGCATTAAAACTACTTTCATAATGCATTATATATAAAAGCTATAAGTAAAGTGTTACTGAATGCACTTCTCAAAGCAATAATAATGATTTAATGATAATATTGTTTATTAAAACATAATTTTGTGAGGAATATCACACCGTATCACAATTATTTTGTTCATGTTTTAATTTAAACAATAAACCTGTTTTTTGGGAAAAAATTAAAGAATGTGAATTATTCAAATTTCGTTCATTAATTACATCGTTATGCGTTTGATTGCCACTGTCTTTGATAATATACATTTGTATTAAATCATAAAACACACATTAACTCAAGAATTCCTGAAAAACCACACATTTTATACAGGGAACTATTATTGTTAAAATTTTCTAAAATAATTTATAAATTGTTAAAGTTTGATTGTTCCAGTTGATAAAATCTTCAATGTCTAATGTCGTATTTAAAATAATGATTTTTATTATTAAAATTTAATTAAACCATTAAAACAGAATCTAGAAAAAAATAAAATGGAAAATATAGAATTTTGGAAAAAATTAAAGGAGTTTAAAAAAAGACTGTCAGATCTGGGATTCAGAGCGAGGTCACAAACGAATGGCTTTAATCAGACGTCATGACAAACACAAGCTTCTTCAGAGTGTTTTCATTCTGGTTGTGTAGCAAAAGTGAAATGAAAGTTCAGAACAGAAAAACACTGCATGATTTTGATTCTGATTCTTTCAGTGATTCTGCGACTGAACCGACACAGTGGCAGACAGATGAAAACCCAAGCTTCTCTCCTTAAAACTCACATTCACCTATAAATATTCCTGAAGTCACACCGGAGCCGCTCGCGCTGAACCCGATCCAGGACCGCCGTCAATGGTAGGGATGTAACGATTCACTCAACTCACGATTCGATTCACGATTTTTTTTTTTTTACAAAATGAGATTTAACACAAATTATAAATTAAATGTGTCCTTTTATTATTGCTTGGACAAAATGCTGCACGTTTCTTTGTGAAATTGAAATATAACACTATAATAATATACTAATATA